GGGTTTTCAATTTGTTATTTTTTAAATGGTTCATTTTGACCCCTGTTAATTTAGATATAGCCCTTTTTATCGAAATATTTTCACCTTTATAGGAGAGGCTAGAGAGGATGAGAGAGAAGAAGAACAGGCTACCAAAGAGGATGAGAGAGAGGAAGAACAGGCTACCAGTGAGAGAGAGGAAGAACAGGCTACCAGTGAGAGAGAGGAAGAACAGGCTACCAGTGAGAGAGAGGAAGAACAGGCTACCAGTGAGAGAGAAGGGGAGGAGAGTGAAGGGAGAGAGAGAGAAAGACACAGTGATTCAGGAGCATTTATGGGGACCTCTGCATTTTGCTCAGGATCTTCCTGTCCATGCCTGTGACTGTGGCTGGAGGTGAGCGAGCTTTCAGCAAATTGAAGCTTATAAAAAAACTACTTGCGCTCAAAGATGTCACAGGAGAGGCTCAACGGGCTGGCAATGCTTTCCATAGAACACAAGCTTGCAAAGAAGCTGGACACCAAAAAAGTCCGGCGCATGGCACACAAAGTTAATGTTAAAATGTTCAAATAAATTGTTTGTTGAGTAATGAGTATTTTTTTGAATTTCCGTCATTTAAGGGTAGGGTAGGGACTGAGAAAGTAGAGGTGTGTGTGGGTGTTTTTTTTTTGGGGGGGGGGGCCCATTGAGAGAATTTTGTCCCGGGCCCAGCCAAACCTGTCAGCGGCCCTGACAGTGGTACAGTGGTTTCCGCTGTCACCTTATAAGAAGACACTTTCAGTTTGAACCCTAATGTGTGCAGACTAGACAGTCGCTGTCATACCCCCAACTGAGTTGGGTTTTTTGCAGGACAGAACAAAAAGACTCACAGCAGACATTTAGACTTGTCATATGGGACTGTGTTAATAATGGCTCGGTTCTATCCCAGTGCCCCTGTGTGGTATCAGCTCTACAGTGAGCCAGCATAAACTATATTAGGAGCCTAACACTGCAGCAGCTACACAGAAATCTATAATCATTCAATGTATTTTTGACACTTGTCCTTTTCCTGCTGTAAAAAGATCTGCTGTAAAAAACCTGATACATTTTTATTTACTGCAGTTTCACCAGCCATAATGAGTTCACATGTTTAAAGGTCCAGTGTGTAAGATTGAGATGAAAAGGATCTATTGGCAGAAATTTAATGCAGAATAATCCTCATGATGTTTTCACTAGTTTGTTTCATCTAAATTGTATGAATTGTAGTTTTCTTTACCCCAGAAAAGACGATTTACATGTAAATACTTTATATTTACATCGAGGGGGTCCTCTCTACAGAGGCCGCCATGTTTTTTACATTAGTTCAGACTGGACAAACTAAACACCTTTTGAGTTTTTATGACGACTGAAATCTACCGCAGGTTCTCTGTCATGTTTGGAAGGAGAGGGTGAGGTGAAGCGTATTCGATTGCAACATGCAATTTCAACACTAGACATCACTAAATTCTACCTTTAATACTCACACAAGCACTTAAGGACCTAGGTCACTTCTTACAATGTTGTTTGATTGTGGATTTAATTTAGTATTTCTACTTTTTTTTCACATTTCAGTCTATTTGAGTAGTGAAGCTGATCCACAGTGAGCCCTCAGTACAAATCCATGTGTACAAACTGGATTTCAACTGTTTGACAGACGTAGCAAACCAAATCCCTAATGAACAGAATAACTTATGGTCTGGTATTCAGTGGTGACAGTCTTTCTTGCTGTGTGGTCTTCCCCCATTTGGCCCACCATTAGCCAGGTTTACAGTATTAGCAGTTCCTTTGTGATACTAAGGGGAGTGGAGAATTGATCAGAAACATGACCCAAAAGGACCAGAAGTTTCACCACTTCAGATTCAGTTCCTTCTATCAACATCTTCAGCCTTCTGTTCTACACTGTAACATCAATTTCCATGCTGCCAGGACGGACAGTTGGTGAGCCACATCTCTCCACCCCACCCCCCTCCCACTGACCCAATCTAAAACTGGGGTGCAGCAACAGCTGATCTTTTCAGGAGCATCTATTTTTAAAACTCTTCTTTCAGAATGGGCCAACTCATCAGGGCTGACATGCTATCCTGTCAGAGGACTGCCAGTGAGGGACCTGACCCCTATGCTACTTAAAGGCACAGACTTTCTCCCTGTTGCACATGTGGGAGAACACTGGCTGAGCTTACTGTTTGTCGTATGAGTTGAAACCCACCACCACTGAGGATTCATCCATCACAGGAAATCTCCTGTTTGGATGTTTTGTGTGTGCTGCTGCAGCCGGATGACACTCCTGCCACACAAGATAGACGACAACAAGAAACATATAGCAGCAGCAGGAATGTGCAGCCTCAGATACACTTCAGGGTGACTAGTCTGCTAAGCAGTTGAGGGAGGGTTGAAAACAGCCTAACCTATGTAGTGTTTTACATTTAACATGGCCACTCACAGCTAAAAAAGTGATGACTAAATCATGTGTCATGTCAGTTACCAGTGATAACGCAAGTTAGCTGAAACATCCGGGTTGGGTAAGGACAGACTCAACTTCCTCCTCACTGAACCTACTTGTAAAAACCACCCTGAATGAGAGCAGAGGCTGTGATGGTGGATTTCAGGTTTTTGAGCTCATCACTTTCCAGCGAGATAAACACGTATTTTGCTGAGTAACAGGCAGCAGCGTCCACACATTTGTGACAAGAAAGAAATGACACTGAATGGCCATTGCTCAGTTTTGCAGAAATATGAATCTATATCTATCTAATTCCACAAATGTCTGTCTCTGTCTGTATGTGAAACATACATCTACTTAACACTTGGCATGCCTATTGTTAGGGGCACAGGGAAGAGCAGTGCTGAGCTTTGGACACATAAAATGTTCAATATTAATACCAACTGAATAAAAAGGTGACTGGCACTTTCTAGCAGAGTCAGTGGGGACAGGGCAATGTGCCTTCAGTTCTCTGACCTCGATTAAACTACAGCAGAGGTCGGTGCCTGCGTTAAACAAGGAGTCAAAATTGCCACCACATGATTTTGATTATTTGATTATAATTATGTCACAATACTGGACTGAGACAGGTGCTGCAGGTTCATGCCAACAACATTCATAAACACTTCCCCTTTGGCAATTTGTCCTCCAAGTAAAAGCACAATGTTCATTTTGTTGCTGGGATGCTTTATATCCATCTAAATGACTTCAAATGAGTTTTTGAAAACTTCGGAACCTGGTTTTGAAGATAGTGTTGATTGACGAACAAGAATCTGAAATAGCTGCCATGCAATGTATGAAAAAAGAAACACCAGTTAAATCATTCAGGCGTGTATATAAGCCACACGTGAACTGTAATAAAGCAGAAGCTGTTTTATTTTATGAAAAACAATGCAGATAAACTAGGTAGGAAGTTCTCTAACTTCAGTCTGTCCCATAGTCCAGCTCACAAAGAATAAAAAGTGACAGTATATTGTAGAACTGTTTAAGTAAGATTTGTTAGTGACAAGGAATAGATCAGCATTAACACAGGCCAAGCAAACAGCCCATTCTAAACAGGCAGGTCTAGAATGGGCACTGTGCTAGTATCTTCAAGACAGAAGCATAGTGTTGCTTCATCATAGTAAACATGAAATATAGTATTTTCTTTATAGACAGCAGGTATTTTATGATGAAATTATACTGAAATGGTGATTTTTTTACTTGTGTTTTCAGCTCAGGGACAAAAGTGTAGACAAAAGCGTGCAGGGTATCACACTCCAGACATTGACTTAATCCCAGAGGACACACAGGCCATTATAATTGCCACAAAACATCAATTCCTTGTGCTCCAGACTCATCATAATAAAGAGATTAGAGGCCTTGTAAACCTGTCACAACTCGACTTCACCACCTGTTAGAAACAATGGACTGGAACAGCTGCTAACTCCAGACTCCCATTATTGACAGATAGCAAAACATTTCCTGCAGGTTAGCACATGAAAGGCTTATTATCCAAAAGCACAGTGAACCATTTTAATCTGCGGTAGCTTTGTTTATGCAAGCTGCCGCTGCACCTTGTTTCATACAGACATTTTAGTTGCACATTTAATCACTTTCTTAATTGTTTAGCTATGTTCATATCACATTGCTATTCATTTGGTTTTTAAAAAAAAAAGTCTGTTCTGGTCACTTAAACACTCCATTTAATTGCATTAAGAAGGCACTCTTTCTAGTTAGTGTAAATTGTGTTATTGTGCCTTGTGCATCTTGTGCAATGGAAAACTTTCCCTCTTCAGCTCGTAAAATAAATACAAACTGTCAGGTTAGATTTGGCCAACCCCAAAAATGTGATTACAAAGCACCAGCAACTTTTGAACCAACATCAAAAAGGTTTAGCCTGCCTACTGTGTATGTGCATGTCCCAAGTCTCAACAAATTGATAGAGCCCGACCTTTGAACGATTGGCTGATTTAACTAAACCATATGTTTTTCTCAGACTTATTAGTTTACTGATATACACCAATTTAAAAAAAACCTTTATTTTACCGAATAAACAATGAAGAAAAACGTTTATATACTCAGATTGAGTTCCATATATTTAGTTGTACTTGTTTTCTTCTATTTATAGCTATTTATAATGAAGTTTACCCTCCAAAAAACAAATGAATATATCCAATAACTAACTAACTAAAGAATTGGGAGCAGACTTTGGAAAAAGCTCAGCAAAAAACATGTCCTCACAAGTAATGGTACTTTAAAGGCAGTGGTGATCTGACAGAGATGTTCTTTTTTTGTCAGAGGACTCTTTTTAAGAAGAGCTAGAGTGGAAAATAATCAAAGACACCAGTGAAAACAAAGCTACCGGTGGCAGCCGTAAACAGACGTGCAGCAGCGCGTGTGCACCGGGGTGCTTCGTTACGTCCAGCGGTAAAATGTGGCTCTGTAGTTGGGACTGGGTGAGGAAGAGCGCCCCATGGACTCTTCCTCACCCAGCTCAGACCTGACGGGAAGCACTTCGCTCGCCCTCTGTCAAACTGCGCTCACCTCTCTCGCTATGAGATTCAGGGCATCGTCCTCGGCCGTCGACTTCTCCTTCTTGGTGGATCTCTTCCGTCCTGTGCCTTGAGTCCCCATGTTCGCTCAGTACCCTCTCCTCCGGCAGCGGCGGCGGCAGTAATCCAGACAGAGCGGGCAGCTGTGGCTCGTGTGAGTCAAACGCGGACGCATGGAACGAGCAGAGGATGAACGCGGGTCATTGTCACACATCCGCTCCAGCACGTCTTCCTGTACCGGAACTAACTCGAGACTGAAACTCCGCTTCACTGGCAGCTCCGGCCACACGTGCGCCTCTCACAGAGCGCGTTCACTGGGGCCGTGCATTTAAAGCGCGTGCGTTGCTGACCGACTCTGTGGGAATCAAACCCCGGCGATGAGACAACACGCGTGACCTGCAGCTGCATTCGGTGCGTGTTAAAGTGTGTTGTGTGGTTGGAAGCGCCGTGACGGATTCAGGGACTCGAACCCGTGTCACTGCAACTTCAGAGCCTGAACTCAACCAAGCTGCTTTCACGGGGTGTCGGATATATCACTAGCGCAGTGAAGCAGGTCATAGCCATGTTATTTTCACATTTCTTTTTGAAATCAGAGAATAAACAACGAATGAAAGAAGTTTATGTAAACACAACAGCTGCCTGTGCAAGAGCAATGTCACGTTTCAGTGGGGGGGAAGTTATCCTATCACTAACATCAAACCACTGTGCAGTAAAAACAAACTAATACTACATTAACATATGGATTTTGTGTTGATTTGTCTGTAGAAAGTTGGTCCAGAGAAGGTGTTTTCTTAAACTCAAGCTCTTAATGTCATAACACAAACTGTGTGTCTGCTCTTGTAAACTTTTTGTCCCTCTTTGCCTTAAGTCAAGTCAAGTCAAGTCAACTTTATTATCAATAATGAGTGCAGGACATATAGAGAATTGAAATGGCGTTTCTCTCTTATCCCCGGTGCAAACAGCATTAAACATGAAATATAAAATATAAAAAATATAAGTAATTAAAAGATATAAACAGGCAGTGGCAAATCATGACGATATAAAGAGTATAAATATGGCAGATATGGCCGAATGAACCGAATGAACCGAATGAACGGTATAAATATAAACAGAATTATTAGTGGAATATAAATATAAATCTGGCAATATGGCAGTATTAACAGAATTACAGTATAAATATAAATATCGCAGATAAAAACCGGATTAAGAGTATAGGCAGTGAGGTCTATCAAAAAATAAGATGTATACAGTGCAAACAGTGTTGTAAACAGTTGGTGTACAGCAGTTGACTGTACACAGTTCAATTGGTTTGTAGAGTTTGTTTATATATATCTTCTTTTTTTTTCTTTTTGTTTTTTTGAGTTTATAAAAGTGGCTGGTGCCATTTGGTTTGTGCATGGTGGTGGTGGGGGGTGTCAGTGTCCGGTGGAATCCAATGATTGACTGGTGATACTAAACCAAACTGTGATTCTGTTTTTCTTAACATCTAAAATAAATGAATATGTAAATAAACAAATAAAGATCAGAGTGTGGGAAAGTTCTGTTGAAGGATGTTGTACTTGAACGCAGCACCGACTGCTGGCCCGGGCCTCCATACATGTTCAGGGGCTTGAGTCTGGAGCAGAAACCTCAGCTCCTGTTGGGCTATCTACTCTCTCACACTCTGCTATTTATAATGATGGCCATCGAGGACTAAAAACAGGCTGGGGTTTCTTAAAGCGACAGACCAGACCTCACTTTTCCATGACTTTATACTGCTCATCAAACACAATGTGAATCCCATAATCTAGATGTAATCTCGGTGAACATGCCAGCACAGTGTCCCAGGCGAGTTCATGATGACATCGGTAGATATTTTTATATCCTGTGATATCACATTTGGAGCACCTATAATATAATGCAGAGACTTCTTTTCATGTGATATTTACAATCTTCATCCAAATGTAATGTCATGTCAATACACTTGCAGTTTAATTATTGTTATTTAGGGGGTGTTTCTTATTTATTCATAACGTCTATGTGGATCACTGGTTTGCAGATTACAGGAACACAACTTTGAATTTTAGATAAAGCTGAATTACACATGATGCGTAAAGGTTAAGTGTGTAAGATTCAGGTGAAAAGGATTTATTGGCAGAAATCGAATAGAAACTAATCCCAGTGATCATCTAAATTGTATGAATTGTTGTTTTCTTTACCCTTGAATTGGCCCTCTATATTTAAATACTTATTTTTTTACATCAGGGGCGGATCCACTCTACGTAGGTTGGCATGTTTTTTTACAGTCGTCCCGACCCCGGGCCACACCAAGCACCTTTTGAGTTTCTATGACAACTGAAGGCTTCCACAGGTTCTCTTTCATGATTGTAAGGGGAGGGTGAGGGGTATTCAGCTGCAACGTGCAACTTCACCACTAGATGTCACTAAATTCTACATACTGAACCTTTAAAACTGTACAATGGATAAATGTTTGTCTAGACTCACATGAGGAGTGAAAGGCTAAAGGTGCAAATGCGCTATATTTTACTTTGTGGAGAAAGTGACATGTAGGTTGAACAGTTATCTTATAATCATATCTGATAAGGCAGTACAGCATTTAAAACACAGTTCTCTGTTTATTTGAATTAGTTCAGCTGTATATATGGAAGTGGTTCCAAAACCAGCACATAGTAAAATGGTATTGATTATAAATGAGCATGCATTTCAGTGAATAACTATATTTTGTATTTGTGGTGTTTGTTTGTTTACAGAGGAATATAAAAGAATGAATTCAACACATTGTCGTAGAGTGTAAGGCTTGATATCTGGTTATCACTGGTACAGCAAGCTATAATCAATGCAATGCCGCCTCCCTGTGGTGTAGCAGTGTCATTTGAGGAGATAACACAAGAAGAAACAGCAGCTATAGGCTACGATGGGCCTAAAATACACATGAAGAAAGGCTTTTATTTCTGTGTATGATTTGTAAACAAGTATTTCTCTATAAAAATATTAAGCATACATGTTGTTACAGGAAATTCATGTTGATAGCTTACTGTATAAAGAATCATTTAATTGTTTTCTTTGAGTTTAGAAAGTGGATTAGAAAGAACCAGAAAACAGTTCCTGTTTTTATCTGTGGTCCAACACGTGAAATAAGTTGTTGAGTAAGTAAATGGAATTGCAGCAACAGCAAACATTTGGAAATGACCAACATGTCCCATAAACCATTCTTTTTTCTTTTTTGCATATCAGAAATCTTCTTCAGTTTTATGAACAAGATGCATGACAAATCATATTTACTGTCAAAATCACCATGTATGAGGCAAATAGTTGAGAATGCATGACGTGATTTATGGTTTTATGAGTCAGTAGTGGGTAAGTGAGATTGTGCTGTTTGCTTTATGACACGTTAAGACTGGACTTTGGTTTTACTTTTAATTTCTATGAAACAAGGGGAAGCTGGCGCTGCGGCAAACTCTCAACAAAGAAGGGGTATTAGTTCCTCTGTACAGTTTGGAGTAGCTGTTGCTTCTTACGAAGGAAAATACTTATCTGTACTGGATCAGGATTAACAGACTTTGCTCCACCTGTGTTGCTTTGCTGCTCGGAGCTGACAAAGTCTTTTCATGGGGGAGACTCTCCCAAGGCTGCCAGGAGGCCCTCTGAGGAGACCTATGCAAACTCTCAGGGTTAAGATGGTTCTTCTTGGAAGCTCTGGTGTGGGAAAATCAAGTTTGGCCCTGCGATTTGGCAGGGATGAGTTCAGGAGTACATCGCCTACTGTAGGCTGTGAGTTCTCGATTCTCTGAGCTGTGGTTAAATATCACACATAACATCCACTAACACTGAAAACCTCTTGTAAGGTTAAGATTTGAATGTTGACATTGTGTGAAATGTGTTTTTCTGCTCTTTTGCTGGAAGAATATTGATGCCTCTCATGTCTGTACACACTAAATGTAAAGTTATACAGCCAAAATTACAGCCTGGAGTCAGTATATCGAAAGGTTAAAAACTTTTCAAGCACCTCCACATTTCTCAGTTAACCCAGTTAATGTCTCACCTGTTTAATCTGCACACAAGTTGTGGTTTGACAGTTGTTTATATGCTTGATTATTATTTATGTCCAATTACATACATAAAAACACCACTTGTTGTTTTTACAATTCATTTTCTTAGCTATTGAGCTTTAGAGGTGCTGGTTTGTGTTAACTGTGTCCAGTCTAAATGCTAAGCTAGGCTAACTGCTTCCATACTATACCCTCATACGTCTGAATAACAAACACACTTGAGAGTGGCATCGATTTTCTTATTTTACTCAAGGCAATACATTAATCTCTTAATGTTGTCATGAAACAAAGTTCGATCTTGTTGTGTCATACAAAAGTACTATACACATTTCAAACACATGCTCTGATATGATGATACTGGGAGACAATTTAGTCTCCTCTGGTGTCATTTTGCCATCTGACCCTCCAGGTGCCTACCTGACCCGGTTGGTGCATTTGAGTGATGTCAATCTACGCTTCGAGATATGGGACACGGCAGGGCAAGAAAAATATCACAGCGTCACCCCTCTTTACTACAGAGGAGCCCATGCTGCAATCCTGGTCTATGATATCAGCAAAAGGGTGAAAGGAACAGACACGTGCACATGATAAATGACTCACCTTGGCTTTTCTTGACTGGTGTTGCATATATGTCTATACTTGCATGTGCTTGTGTCGCTGTAGGAAACATTTCTCAGAGCTCAGGTGTGGCTCAAAGAGCTTGAGAAACAATACATCCCAGGATCTACTGTCATGTGGCTGGTGGGCAACAAGGGGGATCTGGCTCAGGAGAGGCAAGTCTCCGTGCAGGTACATACAAAGATAACAACATAATAAACGGTATCACAATCCATCCCCATTTATATAGTCACACTGATTTATTCTATATTGGACAATTTTTGTTTTCTCTGTTGTCACACAGGAAGGACAGGGGCTGGCCAGTGACAGGGGTTTATACTTTTCAGAGACATCTGCAATGTCGGGGTACCAGGTCAGCGAGTTGTTAGTAGCTATAGGTAAGTAAATGTGTTGAGTCATTTAAAATAGAATAGAATAGAACTGCATTGTCTGCCGAAGTGGAAAATAGTCTTTGGTTCTCCAACAAACAGGCAGCAACATGACCAACCATCATAAAAATAAGCAACCATGACACTGAGTCATTGAAAGAGGCGACAACATGAAACAACAACAACACAAGGCTGTATTACACACAATAAGAGTTCTTGTGACAGATTATCTGTTGATTGGATGCCACTTTGCAGAGTTAAGAAAACTAATAGAACTTGAAGTGAAAGGCCTTTAAGAAACATTTTAGTTGTCAGAGAGACTCTATAGCACCCCCTAGAGCTCAAAAGTTCAAACCGGCTGAGGAGAAGGTGGAAGCTCTGCCTTTCATCCTCATCCTTTCAGTGGTGACTTGAGTCTTCTGGACTTTACTGACTATTTTTCTTGCCATTGACCCAACTCTGGAGAGTTTTTTTTCTTTGCATCTGCAGCTTAACCGTACCAGGCAGGAAGATAAAAAGTTACAACCCTTTCAAAAGGAGATTCGTGCTCACGTTCTAAAATCTGCTGACTGAATCCCAGGCCACTGAGTCTTCTGAGAAGAAAAGGTTGCTGTGAGAGTTTCTTTGTTCCCTGTGTTTTCAGAGAAGCTCACCTGAGAATCACGAGCTGTACCAAAATATTTAAATATTTCTGGAGTTTTGACGGCTATTGAGTGAACCATGCTCAGTGTTAAAAAAAATTCCAACAGAAAATTTGCTTTGATTAGACACATTGATTTAAATTAAATGTCTTGGTATGTGCAAGAGAGGCAGCTTTACACAAACGGTCATTTTTATGCAGGAGGCCGACCAAGGCCCTGTCGTCAGTATACTTCAACACTGATGAAGAGAGGCCTCTGTTTTGCCTCCTGTGGTTGCCTATAGTCTGTGCTTTGACCTAGCATACCACATCAATCAAAAACCTTTAGATATAGAACAAATGATTACATTCATTGCTAATCTTACCTGGATTTAGAAACTGTCTGAAAATGGTTTCTACCCAGCGGATACATCTTGGGAATTTAAATCCACAGTAAGGCCACACGTCCACCACTAGTGGGCAGTAGATACCAACATAAGTGGTGGATGCACTGGTTCATCAACAATCTGACTCTTCCTGACAGCTTGGAAACTTTAAAGCTCAAGGTCTTTAACAGTTACCTGTCTTCATTCACTTCTTGATCCCCTGGCCTCTGACATGTTGACTTGTTCCTGTTTAATACAAACGTGAATGCGATATATTTGCTAACAGAGCTGTGTGACTCAGCCCACAGGGTGTATGAGTGTGTCGGAGCACAGCAGGAAGCTCTGACAGAGTGGCGGGAGACACCAGTCGTGAATCTGCGTCACAGGGACACATTCATTCCTGCTGCTTCCTGCTGCAAAGTTGGGCCCTAGAGGAGAAGAGGAGAAAAAGGGGGAGAGAGACAGAGGTAATGGAATGGAATCAGCTGCATTGGTTAGTGTTGGAGCAGAGTGTTATTAGAGTACTTGAGAAGACAGTATAATGTTTGCTTAGTTTATTTAGTTACAGTTAATGTGACTGTCCCTCTTTATATTTATGTTGGAAAGGGTTTTTGGTGAATAACCTACAAAATAAGTTAGATGAACACACTTTTTTATATTAAGAGTAAACAACAGTGTGCCTTTTTAAAACAAATGAAAATCTTACTCTGCATTTTGGTGAGAGATTAATCACAAAGGTTCAGGTTTCAGGTTGTTTCACTTCACAGTAATTGCGGCTAATTATCTAAGGCTTTGTATTACACTTAACTTAAAGTAATGGACTACAAATACTTCATCACTGTACTTAAATGCAGAGGTCGCAAAAGTACTCACATCCTTTACTTAAGTAAAAGTACAGATACTTGTGTAAAAAAAGACTCTGGTAAAAGCAGAAATACTGATTCAACTCCTTTACTCAAGTAAATGTAAAAAAGTACAGGCTCTGAAATGTACTTAAGTACAAAAATGAATTTTTATTTTGTTAACAACCTGCACAGAGCTGGTACAGAGAAATATAGTTTTGCTGCCAAATGTCAGACAGAATAATAAAGACTGGACTGAACCGAGGTCCTGCATGAGCACCTGGATCATTTGTTACAGGGAATAAATGGATGAGGGATGTACAGGCCTTGATTAAGTCTGACCAAAGCAGCCCGACCAACCTCCAGACGCTTAGGGTCTCGCACTGCGTGTCTCCTAAGGCAGGGGCTGAGCGAGTGAGCCAGAGGTGCTCCGTGCGTAAAAGCGTAAAAACAAGTAAGGATCCAGCTTTGAGAATGTAAGAAGTAGAAAGTACAGATATTTGTGTTCAAATGTAGCGAGTAAAAGTAAAAAGTCAGGAAAATTAATACTCAAGTAAAGTACAGATATCTGAAAAATCTACTTAAGTACAGCAACGACGATTCTGCCTCCCTGTTCTGCTTCATTCAGTATGTTGAACCCTTTTCCTCTTGGATTGTTCTTCATGCTCACATAATTTCTTGCTTTGATCCCGTTTTTAGTTTATTGTTTTTTAATTTCATTTGAAGTAAAATTCAACTTCAGTGGTCTTTAGACTGCATTAAAGTGACAAGAGTCTCAGTTTGCTTTGCACAGATACAGCTGGTAGAAATGGCCTTCAGGGGGGACTTTACTTTTATACTTTTATATGTACATTTAGGAGCCTTTACTTTTATTAAAGTAAAGAGAGATTTAATCAATACTTTTATACCTTTACTTGAGTTGTTTTTAACACAAGTGTCTGCACTTCTACTTAAGTAAAGGATGTGCGTACTTGTGCATCTGGCACGTAACAGGACAGGAGGAGTGACATATCTCGGTGGGTTTAGGATCCACCTGATCTGCCTCCATGCCAGATGTTGAAGTGTCTCCAGTCTTGATACTTTTTTCATGTGGTCAAAAATGAAATAAATAACACAAATATAGTCCTCATGTATCAATAACATTGGGATTAAAAAGACTCTTGACTTTTAGTGAAACAGTAAATCTGTCTGCAGTTGGCTGGGTCAACTCTCTTATATAAACCGACTTTCTCACCTACAGTCAGACTCATGTTTTCTCCTTAAGTGTGAACTTTCTATTAGTGATTGCAAGCATAACTCAGATGTTCGATGATGAATTGTAACTGAGAGGAGGCTTTATTGTGCTGATTGAAACCAAGCTTCTGGAAAGCCAGAGGAACTGCTGGTCTTGGTTTAGTTATAAAAAAAAGACACCATACCTCATGCTGAGAAGATGACATGCAGTTAATAAAACATTCAAACATGAATAATTTGGTTGTCATTGTGCATAAATCTTAAGAATAAAAAACAACCCCACTTTGCAGATGTTGTGAAAACCCCCTGAATTATCTCAGTCAAAAGTGGTTCTTTATTTCAACTGCTGAGCTATGAATATAACCAAAGTGATAATTAAACAACGAATAAGTTACCTAATTATCCATTCTTGACAGAGAAGACTTGAACGTTATTTTTGGAGTGAAGTACTTCACTATTATGAGGCACAAAAAGTGATCGGGGGGCAAAATTAAATCTAAGAATAGCTGCTCTGGAAAAGTACCAGGTTTATTTTTATCTTAAATGAACAAAGCAGTCAAAACATTTGTTGGTTGTTGACAAAGGCAGTCACATGCAGCATGACATCATTTCTGATGAGTGCACAATGGCTACCCTGTCAGAATAAATGCACTAAACCAATGAGTATGCTGCTGTAGTAAACAATGAGTACACAGTGCACAGTACTGAGTTAAGTAAATGTATGAGGGGCAATCAGGAACATTATTCAGAATATAAAGTGTGATATTCTCAGTATGTATGTAGAAGTTTTTTAAAAACATTTCTTTCAGTTTTCAACATGTACGTTTTATGAGAGCTTTTCGGTTGTGTGTGTGAGACTATGGTTTCACTTGTTGCTCTTAAAAATAAGAACACAACATTGGTACACACACTGCATTAATACTTTATTGTCTCATGTTGTTTATTGAATTTACAAAACAATTTTCATTGAAAACACATTTTAATGGATTTTGTGTGAAAGGCCACGTAAGTATTTCACTTTTCAGTCTTGTCCAATCTTCTAACAATCCAAGCGATCGTACTGAAGGAAACAACACAAGTATTTTACAGAAAATGACAAAAACAAAACAAGATGTTCAATATGTGTTTGAAAACTCAAACAAAACCACTATCAGCACTGAAAAATGAGAACACAGTAGACATTGTCTGCAAATTTCCCTATTGTGGGACTACTCAAGGATTTTCTTATCGTGTCTTATCTTGTGTTATCCAGTGCGTTTTCACTGTGTGATCCAAATACTGCTGTCTCTGTCAGCTTTTGGTCTGAAAACTCTGGCTGTGACAAAAGCCAGGTGCTCATTTCTCCTCATAGCTTTTCGGCCAAATCTCCCCACAGGTCTGATTCCTCTGCCCGTATACCAGGACGCATCAATATTTGGATCTGAAGAACACATGAGAAAATAAAAAAAGAGACATGAAAACAACAGACAAATCCCACGTTCATCGTGGATAAGTCTCAGGACTTTGCTAATGCAGTTATTGTTAGAAGCAAAATAATAAAGTGTATCCTTTGCATTGTGCTATTTCCAGTGTTATGAAAATAAACATACTAAGAGGGAGATCTGCATAATGTTACTTTATTGTTTACAGCCCAAAACGATAAAGGGGAATATAAATTTGCTTGTGGTGCTCACAGGACTGAGATCTGGGTTTCATATACACACACACATGCACACACACATATGTGTGTATATATATATAAAATGAAATTAGTAATAATTAGTAATAATTTTAGCAAATACAAAAATATATAGCTTTGATTCTAAAATAATCCAATTCAACCTCTTATTATTCATTCATACTTATTTTTTCTACATCTTTTTTTACTTCGCTCTACGATCATTATTTATAGCATGAAGTCTTTTTTATAAAATTCCAGTATTCATAATCGTATTTTCCCCAATAGTCATTTTACTTTTTTTTAAAATGAAGCACTAGTTGTGAACAAGCAAAGAAATGTCATACATTTTCTGGCAGTCAATCACGAAACAGACATTTTGAAGAATAAAATGGCAACGAACGTGACCATTATGACAGTGCGCAGGGTAAAATAATGTGTCATTATAATGTGGTGAATTTAAAAAATGTGTTCGATTATGTCAAGGTTATATCATATATTTGCTCTGTATTTGTTGATTTATACATATGATTCTTTGTTTCATAATCACTTTATGTACTGATTTGATTAGGAGCTCATAACATTTAAGGATCCCTTACCTCTTATTATAATGGAACCTTCATGATGAGAGTTGCTTCGAGTTGGACTCAGCAACAGCAGGACAACACAGAGGACTGCACACAGTCCCATTACTGACCTCGAGCAAAAACAATCAACAACAAAAAAACACAAAAACTGAATTAATCACATCTGGAGGAATATTTTTCTATTTTTGAAAATTCTTAGCAAATATGAGAAAATTGTGCCAGGTGTGTTGGCAGAATCAAGACATCCTCTACTTTGGAAACAGCTTCAGCACCAATTTCAGTTTTTGCCCTAAATTAAACAGACTGTTTGACTTTGCCTTGAATGTGTATTCTTGTTGTAAAGAACGCAATAGACCTCAAGTGAAAACACTGCAGGAATATTGAACAAAGACGAAGACTTACTGTTAGGAAAAAAAAAGACTGTAGGAATGTTGAGCAACACAACCGAACTTCAGTGGCTTCTTCCTGATATCCCAGTAGAAACTGAAGTAGCGGTACCCAGTAGAATCCCTCAGTTATTTCTATAGGTAAAATGAAAGCACAGTCAAAATCTCAGAGATTGGAAAAAAGCAAATAATGAGTCTGTAACAGACAAAGAAAGTGTTTTTCCTGATTAAGATCTCACCTGCAGTAGAAGCAGGATGCACTTCTGAGGTTTTGTTGTCTCTGGATGTCAGTTTCACTTAATCACTTCTTTCATCATCTCTTTATATTCCAGCTGGGGTGGAGGGAGCTGCTGATGCGCTGATGTCACCAACCTCCAAGAAAAATATGTACTACAACACACAAGACTTACATAGGAACCTTATCTTTGAGCTTAAAGGGATAGTTCACTTTAAGAATTTAGCTTCTGCTTTTGAACGGACTGATTTTGTGAGGAACTTCAGTGGAAACCTCTTGCTCTTAAGGGATTTGTAAATAACATTGGTACACAACAGTAAAATATGACTTTATGTGTTTATTTCATTTGTATACAAAAGCCATAAATAAAGTTATTATTACTTTTAAACAAATTCAGTGTAAATTAAACGATTCCAGCACACTGTTGAGAATTGGAAATTCAACTTAACTCCCAGTTGACTTTCACACATAAGCAATGAATTATATGAAGTTCTAATTTCTTCTTAATCAGATGTTTCTGCAATGCACTCTCACAAATCATCTGGAATCATCATTAATGTTAAAAGTCTCATGCAAGCATGTGGAGATGTTATATACTTTGGAATGACAGCCTCCCATTGGCCTAGGACCCTCGTGGTCTTTATTCCACTGCACACTAGACATTTTCCTGTATATTCAAGTAACAGTAACAGGGCTGCCGTGTCACTGCAACAGGTAACTGATTGCTATATGAAAATGTGAACACTGTGTGTTAAACAAAGACATGATTTGTGAGTTATGGTGAGATAATGCAGATCTGCTACAGGAACAGGTAAAAAAAGAGAAAATAGGATCACAAACTATTAGTAAAAGACAAAAAACA